ACAGCATCAACTTTTGACTGACATTCAACGCTGATCTAATGTGCCAATCGGATGAGATCTTACTGACTGGCTCCCCGTTTGAATTACTGTTATATCTGCTGATTCGCCAATCTATGATATCTGCTGCTGACCCGTTTCAGTGCCTAATGCCGGAGAAAAAAGACTCACATAATGGAACACAACAGCTTTTTATCGAACAAGCCAGTTGTCAGGGCGCGCCCAAACAGAAGAAAAAGTACATGTGCAGAGAGTGACGCATCCCCAAGGCCACCATCGGTTCGACACGTCCGGAAAGAAGGTGAGTTGGCGGCTCCCACGAAACACGGCTCTCACCAAACGGCTTAGCAACACACGACCAGCGTAGTGGGTCTGAGAATATTCACGACCGGAACACCACCATTGGCTGTATGGAGCGAACAAGTGAACGAGCATATTTGGCCAATTAGTCATCCTATATATTTACGCAGACGCTCTGTACGTTTTGTCCTGGCAATACAGCCGTGTCCCCAGTTCTCTGTCTTCTCCCTATCGCGTAGTCTGGCAGGCTCAGTGCAGGCGTAACCCAATAGTTCGGCCACCACCGCACAATACAACAAGTTGCCTCAGCATCCCTAATTCGATGGTAGGGGCGAATTGTATGCCTACCGTTCTCTTGCTTTCACCAGAAAGTGTATGCACCATTTTGACGTTGGTCCTTGCGATCTACCGTCCTCTCCTATTACAGCGCCTCCAAGTAGAACCATCTCATACAGTAAATCGCTGAAACGCTCCTCGGGGAAATGGTTTGTGCAACGCCTTTATTGGTCACCATTTGTAGATGCAATTCATGCTTCTGTTTAGTAGACAAGGCAAAGTTCGACTACAGAAATGGTATACATCATATTCGGAGAAGGAAAAGAAAAAGATCTTGCGAGATCTCATGACAATCGTCTTGGCTCGAAAGCCTAAAATGTGTTCTTTTGTGGAGTGGAAGGGATTTAAAATAGTGTACAGAAGGTAAATGTTGCGTTTCGTGTATGGTAACTTACCTTTTCAGGTACGCCAGCCTCTACTTCTGCACGGCCATTGAGCCTCAAGATAATGAGTTGCTAACACTGGAGATTATTCATCGTTACGTTGAACTGCTTGACAAGTACTTTGGGAGCGTGAGTAATTTTTTTGCCTGTGAACGAGTACTCTTTCAACTCTGTTGATATGCTTTGATATGAAAAACGCCCAAAATCGGTTGTGGGTTTAACTTCTAGGTGAACTGATTCGCGTTGCGCCTCTAATTCGTGCTCCATGGTAGCAAATCGATCCGCTCATGAGAAGGACTTTGGCTACTCAGGCGACATAGGCGGTCGCTGATTTGTTCGCTGAACTAGCTGGAGCAAATTTCCCAGCTCAACGGACCAACCGACAGCCAATATATTGGTCATCTCAAGGCGATTCAAAGTCGCATCCAGAGTCAAATATGTACTCAGGATACGTCGTGTTGCCTATTTCTCCGACTGTCTATTCGCATCGGCGATGTATGTTTGGGATCGCGCTCAAACCCGTGACAAAAGTTTTAGGCAGCCGGCACGAGCTCAACCCAGCTATCGCCGAAAGACAATGAACAGTACCGAATATACACTCGTTTGCAATTAATTTGGTTTTTCGAGAGAGCCACCTGGAACCAACCCAAATCGGTTTTGATGCTCCCAGGCAACTGAATGTGCTGCACCAGGCTGCCTCATGTTTCAGTCGCTACGATATTCGAGATATTGCGACACATATATATTTTGTAATGCCCTACTCATAAGGTTGCTGAAAACTCCTCGACAACCCTCAACCGGTTTCGCCCTTCATGGGACTCAGCAGCTAAGCGCAGTCACCGGAGTTTCCGTCAACCTTGGGTTCTACTTGAAACCAAATTGCACGGAATTAGGATATATACACTTATTTGCAAATTAATTTGGTTTTTCGAGAGACTCACCTAGAACCCAGCTGAATCTCTCGGTTTTGATGTTTCCGGGCGCCTACCTGATGGGCCCCAAGAAGGGCGAAACCGGTCGTGGGCTGTCGAGGAGTTTTCAACAGCCTGCCTTATGAAAGTGCATGACAATGAACATTGTTCTTCCAAGCTCAGATGCTTTTCCTTTTTCGCACTTCCACCCTCAAAATTGTCACTAATATAGAGCTATTACTTTATTTTTGGCTTACTATTTGTGAGCGAATGAGTTGTAAATTTCCCCACCGATGAAATGTGACTGTTCGCCATCAAAAGACTCATGAAAGTCTCGTTCGCTTAATAGCGACGTCAAACGGTGGGTTTCCGAGCATGACAATCTTGTGTGTATTTGGCGCATTATATCGTGTACATTCTGATCCGTAGCGTATGCAGCCTCAATAGTGAACTGTCCGGGAACATCGTGTCCTTAAGACAGCTACCAAGTCGTGTTGCAGGTTAGTGGTGAAAAGTGAAAAAAAGTTGTTGACCGTTTTAGGTGCCAAGATAGATGGACGTAATGTCTTCAGTATTTTCGTCGTTATCTCCTCCAGGCCATCTGGTTACCTTACAAGCCATATCGCACATATTGTGCCATCATCCACTGTGTAAGCGGTTTTAAAAGCTTGTTACGGATTGGGGGGTTGTGGGCAAAGACAACTTAGATCTCCTGTCATGGTGCTTTGCAAGCATTCAGCTCACAGTGGTGCACTTGCACGCCCCATTCACGCAACAATCCTACCTACATTAAATACGAATGCTTAGAAACAGCGCACGTAGTTTTCGGAGGTGGAGTCCCGACGTTCCCGTAGACGGGAAGTGACCGTTGATTGGTCGCTTATTCCATAAGGTCAGCCATTTGACGTTGACTGGTCTGAATAACTTATTTTCATCTCGGAGGTGTGGTTTCCGCGGATTTCTCTCTCTGACTTCAACTTCTTACTTCGAAACTCCTGGTAGGCTACCTAGTGACTTTTCCAAGTCAATGTAAGACATTGAATCATCCACATGACGTCATTCAACTGCCTTTTAACGTACCCCTTTGGAAATGATGAACGCCTGCTTTTCTGATCTCCTTCACTTCATTCATTCTAAAAACACTGCTGTCTCTTTGTCCAAGGTATGCGAGTTGGATATCATTTTTCACTTCGAGAAGGCATATTACGTTTTGGATGAATTTTTACTGGGCGGTGAAGTCCAGGAGACGGGAAAGGATAGTGCCCTCAACGACATTGACATGCAAGACCTTCTTCAAGAGGTTTGTTTCGGTCGGTGCATATAATTTCGCAGTGTTTACCCGTAGGCCGGTTTTGTCAAGTATGCCCAGATCTTTTTCTCAAGAATTTTCGGTTATTTGTCACACAGTACTGTGAGTAGTCCTGCTTTGATCTTCTGTCACATTGGTTTTACTCGCTTGTACTTGTTAGAATAAATGACATCATTATGATTGATTTGAACTGTGATTGCCTCAGTACTGGCGTCCGCAAGAACGCTACGTCGTTCGGACTTCGGACACTGGTGTTTCCTGCACCAAATTGTAATTGACAGTCTATTAGACCTCCATATGGGGGAGATAGCCACCCCCCAACTCGAAATCAATAGTGGCTATCACGTGAATCATCTCCACTGAATCACCCAGACTACTTCTCTTCGATGATCGGTTTTTGCAAGTCGATTCTCAAAGTCTGCAGGGGTCTACTCAACTGGTGTTGAGTATATTGCTCGTGCCAAGTACCCACGCACCCGCATGACACTGACCAAGAGCTAGACGTAGATAAAATAGGGGGGAATGTGTAGAGTTTACGTAGTCAGCGTAATCTAATAAATCTCACGAGATTGCAATAGGTTCTTTTATTGTGCTCCCATCGCATTCTTGTGGTGGTGTTGCTTAGTAATACCTTGTTATAGTTACATGCCTCCCATCACTTGGCCCATCATTTCTCCAAAACTAAGTTATCCACGTCAACACAGCTACTATCTATGCAGTTAGCTTAGCCATCCTGGTTTTGCATCTCTGACCATGATTCTTAATTTCGATTTACCATTGTTCTCATTCATCTCTCAACTATGAACACCGTTGCAAGTATTTGCCGATTGTATGAATGACGCAGTTTCAAGTCACGTAGCAAACTGAAAGAACCAGCGACACGTGGGAAAACATTTGCACACCTTTGTCAAACGTCTTCACTGCTGTTGAGGTAGTCTTAATAGTGAAGTGTATTTTGAGATGTCACCCAGTCGTACCTCAGTTTTCACTGCAGTTCCGCCACTAGGTCACCTAGTAGACCAATGTACTGACAGACGCCGGTCACTTTAGGCGCCCGAATTTCCTTTAGACCATTGTAGACAGTTGAATTCGGAATTGGCCGCCCGTCTTTTCACTTACTGGGACCATCTTGTTTCCGCCGGTGTTTAAGCACCGTTCGTTGTGTTAGCTACAGAGATCGCGTTCATTCAAATAGTACCGTTTTTGTTCCTCTATTCGTCCCTATTTAGTAGTAGTGCACGTCTCATTTGCAAATGATGTTTACTTAGCTTATCCATTGTCGTGAGTGACGTCAAATCCTTCAAGACACTTTTTCCCACGAGCGTGCTGTCAGATGAAGCAGACATTTGTGTTGACAATCTCCCGGGGTTCACCTATGGTGATACGAAAACATTTGTTACTAATGTCTGTTGAGGAACGCCTCGACATGAATGCCGCGCATAAAAACTAACCTGACTATGCTGTACATCGTTCGTGTGAAATTACGTTCACTGTGTGCATCCTGCCTCAGCCACTTCAGATTGCATGGCATGGCATTGAAAGTAATCATCATGAAGCGGTGACTTGTGTGTTCCTAAAAACTAACTGACTATGCTGTACATCATTCGTGTGAAATTACGTTCTGTACCACTTGTTCACTGTTTGTATCCTGCCTCAGCCACTTCAGATTGCGTGGCATATTGAAAGTAGTCATCATGAAGCGGTGACTTGTGTGTTCCTTCAGTTGTTGCAGGAACTTTGAGGCCGTTTGTCGGATAGGATGGGATTTCCACCGCCCAATGTTCTAAATTGTGGATGACTTAACGAATTGAAATTCGGACCCAATAAACCGTACGCATACGAAGAGAAACATATACCAACATCAACACTTAAGTGGGCGACGTGGATGCGAACGTGCTACGGAGCACAAGGCCTTCTTGCTTTAACCTCAGTTCTCATCCTCAGTGTGACTGTGTAACTTTGACTGAGAAGTGGTTGTTGAAGGCTCCCACTTCGTGATTGGGAGCAGTGGCAGTGACCGTGTGTTGAGCAAAGCAGATCCCAGTTCGTCAAGAGGATTTCAGAGCCTAACACGTTCAGTGTGTGGGTGCTTGCTCCACCAGGATAAAAACTAACAGGTTGTTGTAGCTGCCGCAGTTTCGTTCACCGATGATTTGGGGGGAGGTAGGTAGCTGAGCATTGCACGCGCGAGCTGGTAAATTGGTGCATAAATCCAGCACTGTCAGTGGGCTATCAAGTGGGGGTTGGGGGTTGGAAAAGGAGCTATGCATTGAAGGCAATAGCTTTGATGCACGATCGCCATTGAGGGCGCGACTGGGCCATGTCTGATAATGTCTCTAGCCATTGATGTGGCCCTTCTCGGGGTCCCCATCCAGGAAGACGGCAGTGACCAGCGCAGCTGAGCTTG